TTGCGAAATCTTACTGTTTTTACTTTCAACAAACACATAAAATTACCTATTATTCACACACACTTCACAATCGAATAATATAGGTACTTGTACTAGAAACTGATAAACAAATACACTATTTGAAAAACCTACACATATATTTAACTACTACTACACATTTATGCAACTTTATGTTTAAAACTAATTCCTAATAATTTAAACGAAAACATAAACAAAGCGATCGCACATCACATGAAAACAATATGGCCGAAAACATTGGAAACGAATTGAAGTCATTACCAATAGTCAATTGAGTGTTTATTATAAAAAAATGTAGCTTAAAAATTAAGGTAATGCAGCGTTTAATTTAAAAAAAACAAAGGTTAATTTAGTAAGTCAAATGAAATTGCATCATCGTCTTAAACCAATATTTCATACTAAAAAACATTCATTCATATAATTTGAAACGTTGTAAATGGCGCCATCTTGAAGTTTCAATAACTTCCTTTTAACTTTTATAATAATAAAGTCAACTCCTCGTTTAAAATTTCTATAAACCGACAACGCGTAAAAATGTTAAGCTTTAATTAAAACACTTGAAACATATTTGTTAAATACGCATTTATAAAAATACATTCGCATTATATCGAACGAGTTCAGAAGTTTCAACAAAAAATTCAATAGATGGCGCTGATGTACTCCATTCATCAGTACTTTACGATATACAGATTTTATCAATTTAAAACCTTTTATAATTTAATTGTTTTTAAAAATACAATAACTTGTTGCTGTTTTATTGTTTTAGAATTCTTAATAAAATACGATCGTTTTCCAAGTGATGAACGAACGGTCCTCTAATTTTTTAGTTGCAAACATTTTGTCAATCAACAGGAATCGTGTAATATAATTATGAATGGTTATTCTGTACCGTGACTATGGTCGTGAACTTCACGCATGCGCGGTGCATACTTTTGGTACATTTCTTTTGTGACGTCACTACTACCAACCAAGATTTAAGGAATAGTGGCGCATGCGTGGTGCGTGCGGGGCGCATTCATTACTTTACAAAGGCGCGTATTTATGTTAGCCGTTTTTTTACAAACTTTTATTATGTTATTGAATCTTAATAAACGCGTTTGTACATTTTATGTATGTTATATATTCACGATATTTATAGGTAGGCAAAGCCTTTTCGCCTATATGGACTGCACGCCACTGGTGATCCGTCTACTCGTATACTGGCTTATACCATAAAAAAATAGTAAGAAAATACATAAATACTTACATAAGCATAGTCCTAAGCTTGATGAAGTCGCAGTGTTCAGGGTTCTCGACCTCGACGACTCCCCAAGGATAGAGCCGGCCGCGCACGCGGCGCCCGCGCACCTCCAACTGTTGCCCCGCGCCACACACCGCGAACGGCACCGCTGCCTTTAACTGACGTACCTAGGGGGAAATAGGTAGTAAGAAGTTTTTATAATTTAACTATCGTGAGAAATACTAAATTAACTAAAAATCACGGAGGAATCTGAGAGGAAGAACCCTCTTTGTTTCGAAACTAGTAGAGCTTTTTCACTATTTTCACGTGAATAACCAGCGATTTTTAGTTAATTTAGTAAGAAGTATTTATTATCATAACCCCTAATCCTCAAATCGCCAAAAGATCATCATCATCTCATCATTCATTGTTTCCTTTACTGGAGGACTAATTCCCTCCGTCAGCAATCTCCCCGATTCTCAAATTCCTAACTTCCAATAAGCCGATATCGCACTTATATCTCCTCTGGTATTTTGGGTGTAATGGACGGCACAAATAATTCACGACCAAAAATATCCAAATCGGTCCAGCCGACTAACGAACAGCAATCTATATATATAAAAATGAATTTCCGTTCGTTAGTCTCGCTAAAACTCGAGAACGGCTGAACCGATTTGGCTAATTTTGGTCTCGAAATGTTCGTGGAAGTCCAGAGAGGTGTATATACAGATTTTAATATTATAAAGAAGACAATTTATTAGAGCTATTTCGGTATAGCTCTAAAACCATAATATCTCAAAGTCAACATAAATTAAGACAAACTAACATTTTTCTGTGGTGCAGTCACGTAAATTACTCACGATTTCCGAGTAAACACATGAGTCCTAGATAATGTCAGTTAATGAGCTGGCAGTTAGATAAGATGCTGTCTAATCCTATTCACCTCTACTAGCTAGTCCCGCGCGGCTTCGTCTGGTTCGGCTCCTATTTATTTATTCATTTATTCATGTACACCACACAGACAATACACAGAAAAAAATATAACAAAACAGAGGTATATAGGTACTGCATATCCCTTATGGGATTTCTTCCTGCAGCCCTGAGAAAGGAGAAATAAATACATCATATGACATCAGTGTGTAACAAGAAAAAAAAAAACAAACAGTCAACCTATCTTTCGTTTGTGATGTCTTATAGCCGATCGCCTTCCTCGGCAGATTTAATAGACCACGAAATTTTCAAAATAAAATAGTAGTGCCAACGATTGGAGTCAAAGTCAAAATCATTTATTTCAATTAGACCAGGAAGGCACTTTTGAACGTCAAAACAAAATATTGAAATATTAAAAAAAAACTAACTGACAGACGGTCAGTCCTCTAGTGAAGCTATTTGCTCGTTCCAAAGTGTAGATTCCTAAGGAAAAGAACGAGCAGGAAACTCCATAGGTTACGCTTTTTCAATCATGTTCACAATACAATTTTTGGTTACATTCTTTCGTTCAATTATGTGAGAACAATGTAACGCGATCCACTGCCCGTGCAAGCAAATTGAACCAACAAACTAATTGTTTAGCTTTATAGTACCTATAGATTAAATAATTCATTTATAAATTACGTTTAAAAATACGGACTTCAATCCCACCTTTTTTGAAATCAGTTGATTAATATACCAAAACCTTCTCCTAAGTGTAACACACGTTTCTTAAAACCGCATCAAAATCCATTCAGCCAATAACGAGATAACCACGCACAAACATATACATACAGGTGAAATTGACAACCTCCTTTTTTGAAGTCGGTTAATAACCATGATATTTTATAACATAATTCTATACGAACCTGTTCCTTATAATCCTCGTCTTCATCACTGTCACAGTCAGGTAGATGGTAGATCTTGATGCCCTCGCGTTCAATTTCTTCCATTACCTTTAGAAAAAAGATATCATTGTTACAGATTTTCATTTAATTTCACCAATCCTTGTTACACTATCTTATTGTAATGTTTCAGGTGTGATGCAGGCACATAAAATATTGTGAATTTCTCAAATAGATTAAACGTAGTGAAACGTTAATAATGTTTCGCTAGGCCACCTTCATCTAAGTATCCGATAAACTTATGACAGACAGTTCATACAAATTACGTTCCTAATTCAAATTGATCTGGTACATAGACTACATAGAGCCTTCAGCTACCCAGACATTATGGAACAGGCCTTAAAGTATAACTAGTAGCATATCGGAACTTAAAAAAAATACATTCTTATTTTAAATCGTCGAGTACCGTCATTATAGACACAATTATAGAACAATAGGTTGCGGTCACCGGTGACCGCTTGGTGTTTGACAGTTTAAATTTATCTGGTACCTAGCGGGTATTCAGAAAATATGACACAAACCCCAAAGAGTACAGTACAGACCCTTAAGGCAACTGGTATATCGAAATCGACCGTTTAGAGTCAATTAAAAAAAACACGTTCTTATTTTAAATTTATCTGGTACATAGCGTGTATTCAAACAATATGAAATAGGCTATTATGATAACTGATATAACGGAATCGCAATCGTTCAGAGCCAATTAAAAATAATAATTAAAAAAGCAACTACAATGGTCACACTTACCCTAGTCTTCAACCTCTGAACCTCCTTCTTGGTGAGACAGTCGGCTTTGGCGATAACGGGCACAATGTTCACTTTGTTGTGTAATTGCTTCATAAACTCAATGTCGAGAGGTTTCAACCTGATATAAAATAATATAATATAATATTTTACAACCTCTTTTTGTAAACTATGTAAACCATCTTGCTACCTTTCGAAGAAAGTTAAACGGGCCGTGAGTACCTATAGACGCCAATTTTTTCGACTTTATATCAAAACTCAAAACAATAAAGGTCAAAATGGTATTTTGTATTGATTGTCGTCAACTCTTATTATAAATGTATGTGTGTTTATTTCAATATTTTATCATGTAGTTAGTGGATGCCGGAAGCAAGTCCTACATACCCTGTTTTGTATGAGATTAAAATTCTGTGTAAAGAACAATTTCCATAGAAAAACGACGTAATATTTATCAAAAATCTTATAATTATTTTACATAGTAAAGCCATCCTACGGCACAAATGGGTCGACTCGACAGGAGTGTTACCAAGGCCTCATAGAAAACCGGCGTGAAACAACGCTTGCGTTGTGTATCCCCTTATAAATGAGGAGGCACTATTCCCCCTCTATCCAAAAGCCGGCAAGCTGGCAAAGCATTTGCCCTTCACTGGTGTTACGGGTGTCCATGGGCACCGCCGATTGCTTACCATTCCATCTATTCGTTTCCTATAAGAGAGGTAATTTATTTACCCATGTCCAAACGGAGATATGAAGTAGAAGCAGCAATGTATACGGTTATCAACAATGTTACGTCGATTCAAACCGCTCTCGTCTCGCAGGAACCGTTCAAATTGTTCGTCGATGTATTGAATTATCGACTGTAAACAAACAAATCGTGTACAAATGTGAACGTTTTACATTTTTCCAGATAACGTGTACTGTAAGCTTTGAGAAGATGTTAAATTCTTGGTAGCAAAACATATCGACCTACAAGTGTAATGAAGAAGCCACAAATTGTATCAACAACAACATCATTTACAGAGGCCTTAATACGAGTTTGTTTACGATTGGTTGATTTATTGGCGCCGGCCAATCAGAGTGCCGAACGCGTACTCCTTTCGAATACTTTAAACGTAAAAGCAACTCGTACTGAGGCCTCAGGCCGTCGGCTATTCTACATAAAAGGTTTTAAAAGATGAATACAAGAAATAAGTTAAAAACAGTCCCTGAAATCTTTCAATTTACATTTTAAACCTCAAAAAAGCACTTAGCAAATCTACACTTCTAATCAACAACATATTAAAACCTCGTGCATTCAATACAGGACTTTCTATTTTCACCTAATTTAGAATAACATTTCTATAAACTGCAGGAACAGTATCCTTGACCTCGAAGTACGGTCCGCGGCAGTCCACTGCGGCGTTCACACGAATAGGGTCACAACATACATACATGCGTCAAAGAATGCGCCAAATTGCATCGCTCTACTTCTTTTAGAGTTGGTCAAGACTATATATTGACAAGTTTCATTGCTTTTGCCTTGCAAATCATATAATTAGTTGCGTTCTACAGAAATGGATGATTGAGCTAATGTCAAGCCCGAATGGATTTAGATACGTAATAACACCTTTTTTATGTCGTTTATACACAAATACACATTGTTTTATTGTTATTTCAATTAATTTCTAACAACACCAAATATGGAAAACTTTTTAAAGGAATATCCGAGGTCGCGGTTAGCAATCGCTGATAGAATAAGTGATTATAGCCAGGTGTTTAAAGTTTATATTTTAGCTATGACTCGGAAAACAAGAAAAGCGCATTATTTTTTGTTGGAAAAAGCTTTGGTTTTTGGCAATAAATGGGAAATACAAGACCAGTTAAGTTTAAATTATGCCCATCACGTGTACTGTGGGTAACAGTACTACTAAGTAGCCTACTTAAAGTAGACAGGAACTTTAAATGTTTCTAGTAGTACTGTTATTCCAACAGCAAATACAGTAAGTACTGCTAATACAGTCTTATTCATAAGTGGCAGTAAATGGTCGTTGATGTGCTATAATTGTTACATTAATGCCGATGACTCACTAAACAAAATAAATTACAGGGTGTACCAAAAAACCATGGATGTCTTACTCACAAAGGCAGATACATGATAATGCTATGGCGGATACTAAAGAAAGAAGCTTGGAACCTGTATTTTAAAATCGATTAACTTCGATGACCTGAAATTCCAAAGGTTGCCAGGTTTCTGGTAAACCATTCTTGGGCGAGACCATTGTTCAGCAGTGGACGTAACACGGCTAATAATAATTTTTATTATAAACGTCTGCATCTGAATTGAACTATTCACACCGACAAATCATTACATCAGCGATTGTTCACGCAATCAATGGTAAAGTAAACAAAGGCGGTTTGTTCATTAGTCATTGAGATGAAACAAAAATACAAAAACATAAAAGATATAAAGGACTAAAGGATCGGCACCCGGGCCTCAAGTCTGCTAATTTTATTTAACTCACATGCTATTGAAATTCAATTGAGATTCAATCACGACTCCATTACGATTAGAACAAATTTGGTATTCTGCAAAAACTTGAATGTAAACTCAATAGAGTCGTAATGGAATCGTAGTCTAATTGTAGTTGACTCTCAGTTGAACAGATAAAGGTGTTGCCATTCAAAATCTATCAAGAAGCTGAATGAGTGAATGAACTATTTTATTAATTTAAATATACGTTTTTATCATTTTCTGTTATTCAATAACGAATTACATAGTCGGTAATGAATCGCCTTGACGATAAAACATGACTTAACGGTGTCAGAAAGAGTTTATTTCAAATGAGGTAGCTATATTACATAGTTATCTATGACCAGATTAATAATTAAAAAAAAACTTCTGTCATCTGGCACGTTAATGTCACGACAAATTCTAAACATTGAATTGGTTTATTGGCATAGACTTAATAAGTCTTTATAATAAAACCAATAAGCAATAACATACTACTAGACTAGGTACTCTCTGAATGTTTTCAGTCATAGTAGCATATCAATGAAGATCAGCCACATAAGCAAGAGATAATCTAGTGCACGAGTGTGTGTGCGCATATTAAGATATCTTACAATAACATTAAGGGAATGGGTTCTATTAAAATATCGCTCCTCATGTTCAACTGGTCTCAGGATGGCTATGTGGGTGCCGTCTATGCAGCCTAATACTCCGAGAATCCCAAATTTATAGAACCTACAACATAAAATACCAGTTAGGTAGTCATAGTAAACACAAATGTTGGAATGTAAATGAAATACCCCATAGTAAGATGCCTGCTTACTGTGTCTTAATTTTATTTCGGTCTTGAACATGCTTTGGCCAGATGACATATTGCAGGAGGATGCTATTGAGTGCTTCAGTTACTTGCCTCACAGCCCTTGAGACAGTGGTCTAAGACGCACTCTGGCCAACAAGTGTCTGGTACGAGCCTGTGGCATAGAATGCCAGAGCAATAAGTATCTGCAATCGAAGTTCTACATTACACAACCGTCGCTTAGGTACCTTTACTAAAGAAGAGGCCTATAATCTATCTATATAAATAAAAATGAATTTCTGTTCGTTAGTCTCGCTAAAGCTCGAGAACGGCTGAACTGATTTGGCTAATTTTGGTCTTGATAGGTTCGTGGAAGTCTAGGGAAGGTTTAAAAGGTGAGAAAAAACCGAAAAAACCGTGGCAAGAGACCCGACGGTATGTCATTATTCCGAGAACCTCAAACGGCGAAAGTATAATAGCCTGATTGGCAATTATGCTTTCGAACCGTCTGGGGTTGAAACTTTAGGGCCGTGGGGTCCAAGTGCACATCTTCTTTACAAGGATATTGGAAGGAGGATAGTCATCTTCTTTACAAAGATATTGTAAGGAGGATGGTTGACACTTCAGAGGCCTTAGTATGAGTTTCATTTACGTTTAAAGTATTCGAAACGAGTACGCGTTCGGCGCTCTGATTGGCCGGCGCCAATGAACCAACCAATCACAGCGCCGAACGCGTACTCGTTACGATTACTTTAAACGTAAAACAAACTCGTACTAAGGCCTCAGGTGATCGAAGGGCTGGGTACTACCTTGGGCAAAGGTTAAGCATTGCCATTCAACGTGGCAAGGCTGCCAGTCTTTTGGGCACCCTACCTCACGGTAGCGATGAGAAAAATGTTTTCTTTGGTGCATTATGATGTATTTTTATTATTTTTTTAAGGTGTAAATATTTTAGTTTTAAATTATTTTTATTTTAAGATGTATTAAAAAGGTGACGACGGCGATCTTGCGCATTACCTAATGCTAAAATACGCTATCGTAACAATGACCGCAGCATCTTTTAAATATATTTTGTCAAGTGGTGGCTTGCAAAGTACTATAAATATCTATTGTTGTCTAATCGTACTACGATCGTACTTCAATTGCAAAATTGACACTGAGTGTCCATTGAAATAAATGTCAAACAAACGTCAACTAAGAGTAGAATACCGATTTAGACCACAATCGATTTACAACTGTAACACGATTGAAGAGCAGACTAGCAAATATTCCGATAGCAGTTCAATGGTATGTCACTGGAAAACCATTGGTCTTAAATTAGTAGCAGAATACCAAATGTAGATAAAACTGCTACTGAGATTCAATTGATATTCAATTGAGCCATTCGTAAATTAGCAGACTTGGGGCCCTGATCTTTAACCCTCTGCAACTGACGTGGTTAAATTGTTATAATTCAACTGAGGTGTATATTATACCAGACACCATTTCAACAGCAAATATTTTTGTAGAATTAAAGTATAGCGAGCACTATAGAGGTACAATAAGGTACTCGCAGCAGTGATGCTCGTATTTGAAAAATGACGGTATAACACGTGATTTTGTATTTCGCGGTATCTGTGGGACTACACGTCAGCCGCAGACGGTTAAAACTGCACAACGAATTTTGATGCGATTTTTTTAACAGATAGCGAGATTGTCTTATAACATCTCACATCACGCGTACGAGATCGCGGGCCAAAGCTAGTAAAGCATAAAGAAAGAGTACGACTTACACGGAAACAATCTGTGTTATCAATAGCGTCGCCGTAACCAGGAGTATCAACTACGGTGAGGCGTAGTTTCACTCCTCGCTCCTCAATCTCCACCGTCGAAGCATCCAGCTTCACTGTCTGATTCGTCTTCTCTATAAAAATATAATAGGCTTGTTACCCTGCACCATGGATTCACGGAGTCTGGAATGATGCTTATACAGTATGACAATAATGGCAAGTCCCTTTTTACACGCGAGTCATTATCTAACTGGTGAAAGATATTGGCATTTAGGTGTGAAACACACAGCAAAGTGAATCTTATTCAATTACTTAGACCTAAAAAACATCACCCCAACACAATCGGTATATTTAATACTTTGCGGTAAAAAATTCTAACCCGCCCAGCAGTGTGCTTAGTGCCTATATCACCTCTCAACGTTCGAGGCTCAAAATGTAAGACATTGTCTCATGTTATTTGGATGGGCAAAGATAAGAAATTTCAATATCAGTTTACAGTGTAAAAGATTTTTTATATGATAGAAGTTAAGATTTACTTTTGATAAAGCATTATTACTTTATTACTGTAACCACATACTCGAACAGGTAAAATGGAATATAACTTTATACAAAATTAGAAACAATAACTTCCTTATAATTCATACTATTATTCTTTACACACAATCATAGTAAATGTTACTGAATTAACTAGGACAATGTTAATATGCATTTATGATGATTGATGAGAACTTTAAACTGTCAAACACAAAGCGGTCACCGGTGACCGCAACCTATTGTTCTACAATTGTGGCTACAAAACCGGTACTCGACGAGTTAAATCTAGATTGATTATAATTATTTTTAGAGGTAATGATCAAGTCCCACAATAGTTAAAGGAGTTCCCTGGGGAGTTTCTCAATGGTTAACTGAAGCTACTTTGTATTTGGGCTATATTAATAAATATGTATTGTTTTTTTTATGGAATGTAAATGAGCAGACGGATCAAATGATGGTAAGCAACAGGCGCCGCCGCTATACACCCGAAACACCAGAGGTGTTACAAGTGCGTACCAGCCTATTGGAGATTACGACTTTAAGGATTGCTGGGGATTCAGCAATTGGGGTGATCGGGAGTATTGGTGAGATCTTTACAAATTTGGTTTGATTATCATTAGGGGCCTGATAATAAAGTAGTGTGATAGCTAAGGGAACTCCTCCATGGTAACACTAGCTACTTGGTGTTTGGGCTTAAATACCACCTATCAATGGGTGGTAACATATTAGTGTTTTAATAAAATAATTATAGCTATTACTGTTTTCTAGGTTCCAGTTTTTGAAGTTAGTTTTTTTAACACAGTTTTTATTTTTTAACAGACTTTTTATCAAACTTTTGATAAATATAAGAGTGGATAAGTTTCAATTATGCCCATCATGTCTAGTGCAAAAAAATGGCTTTGACATACAAATAATTGACATAAATCCAATTTTAATTTTCACCTCTGAAATGGCAGTTTACAATCAGACCAAATTACACTTACCAATAGCGTCAGGGATAACACGTTCAGGGTATAGATCAGTTAGAAACAGAGAGTTGACTAGAGTGGACTTGCCCAGTCCACTCTCACCGACTACCATCAAAGTGAACTCAAAGCCCTTCTTCACGGACTTGCGGTGCACCTGGTTGGGAAGGTTGGCAAACCCTACATAACCAGGTGTATCCAAATTGGAAAACTGCAACAGAAAAGAAATTTTAATTTCCACACATTTTTCTTGGCCGTAGCATCTGCTATGGCAGAACCGTGGCAGTTTTTTGGTGACTAAACCACTATGTTCATGAAACAACTGCCTGGTTGTTAACTTCATGATATTGTACTGTACTGGCCTTAATCTGTCAAGTGTCGGAATACAGATCTATGCGAGACACAATGTGTTCTCGTGTCTCATATATCAAAAGACAAAAGATTAAATTAAACAGCAAACTGTTACATTTAAATATTATTTGTATATTTGTTATAACTTACAAAGATTGTATTATTATTGTTTTGTTGTCAACAAACAGCACTAGCCACAGCTAGAAGAGTTTCTTTTAATCTTTTTGAGTAAAACTTAATGGTAGGCAGAAATCTTAGAATGCACCACCAAACATGATCATAACAAACTTAGAGAAAATTGTGTTTAAAACTCTTTAGTTTTGTGGTATGTGATAAAAGCTCTTCAACTTTTATCACATTCATGTATTAGGTGAATTTTTACAATATATACCTACCTAAATTTGAATTTTTATAATAATACATTTTTGGTCTGTTCATAACTACATATTAATTCTAAAGAATAGGGAATGATGAAATGAGTTTTACAAAATTTATTTCTGTTCATGCGAGGTCACTGAACTATGCATTTGCTAAGGAGTGCATGAACATGTGCATCTCTGCCTCAAACAAACAGAATGATAAATACAAAATGACATGTGTGTAAGATGCTTTGTACAGGCAAATTACTTCAGATTCTAAGGATATCAGACTGTTCAAATTTAAAAAAATAATGTACAAAAAGTTGTTGGACAATTAACATAAACATTTATCTTTATACTTAAAAGTTGAAACTTAGGGATATGAGGACTAATTAACGAATAGTTACATTTCCTAATCACACTGATAAGCAAGGAAAACAGTTCAAACATCGGAATTGTACAACCCAAACAGATACAGTTAAGTACAAAACGCTCTGTGACACATTTGCCGACTCACAAACATAATTATTCAGTTTGCATCCATACCGACACACTTTCGCGATACGATATACGAATATCTACACTTAAATTTTTTTAAATATATGTAGCACAGGACATTGTTGAAAATAAACATTATAAAATCTATATCAACTTTCCTTCATTAAACTAACATATTACGATGAGTAAGCTTGGTTGTATTGTAAAAAATAGCTATGGTACTTACGTTCTTGTTAGTCGTTTCGCTAGACATTTTAACTATATTGAAATAAAAAACGTATACAAGTCTTCACTGCACTTCGTTTCTATTTAGTGTTTACTCACTATTATCTACTGAATTCGAAGACGAAGAGTAAATTTTATTGTTATGTTCAGAATACCGAGTACCGACCACAGCCACACAAATTGGATTTGTTAGTGGCGAATGACATTTCATTCCCATTTGACATTTGACATTGGAAATATGGGATTTTGACATCGCACGCCATTTGCCAGCAGATAGATGAGCAGTGCCAATCCAAAATGAAGAGAAATGATTGTCTATGGACAAAATTAAACAGTACAAAATGTATGTATAATAAAGTAGATTATGAGAAAGATAGGCTTGCAAATGATAAGCAAGGTTAGTTAGCAGGTTATTAGTTAGTAGACACCAAAAATCGTGAGGAAACCTGGGCTATTCTAATTATAAGTTTGTAATCGCCAACCCCCATTGAGCAAGCGTGGTGATTAATGTGATGACTAAAAATGTCTATATATTTTAATTTTGAAAATAATAAATAGTTTAATTTTGTCAGCACCACATCTCTTATCTCATCATCACATCTCTCATCTCATCATCACATCTCTCATCTAGGCTAGTGAAACTTTTATCCAATTATGTACTAAAGTGTCGAGGAGAACCTAACGGGTTACCGGGGCTCCGGTTCGAAGTGCAAGAGTAGGACGAGTTCGGGTAGAATTCCTAGCTAAACTCGGTATATTTCTACACAAATACGGTATTTAATAAAAAACACAATATTCAATCTAATTCGTTTAATTAATAAAAAATTTAAGTACAGACCAATTTATAACAATCAAGCTTAAGTATAATAACGTATTATGGTATCAATATTCTTTAGCCATTGCCGAGGTCATAATTTCAAAATCATAACAATAGGGTGAAAACACATCACTGCCGATTTAAGCGGCACGGCGGCGCCGCGACGCAGCGCTCGTTCCAGCGTAGCAGAGTAATGTCTTCTTAATAACAATTAAGCAATAAGTTTTAAACGATGGTCCATGGCAGAGACACGTCTATCCACAATAAAAAAATCCCGACGAACTGGTTACCTACCCTACCGAACGACAGTAAAACGCTCTTTTTCACGACGCCGCAACGCTAAAATCGGCAGTTTGCGTTGCGGCGACGCAGCGCGGTTATGTGTTTCAGTCCTTAAAGAGTCGTTTTGTAAGTAATAGGCTAGTGATTGATTCAGTAGACAGTCTATTTCGCTGTTTTGTTTTCAAAACATTAATTTGTATGTGAAAATATGCGATCAACGTTAGCGGCTGAATGGCGAAGTGATAAAGTATTAGAGATGAAATTGGATAACAAGGGAAACATTTGAGTTTCATTCAGCATCACGCATTAATAAGTAAACTTACTTCATTCCAAAATAGTTCTACATCATCAGGAAATGTTGTGAGTGGTTCACAATTTCTTAAAATGCGCCTCTCTGTATCAATTGCTTGGAAATCATTGCTGTGAACAATATTGGGAAAGAGTCTACTCACAGGAACTATCCAAGCAGTTTTACCAATTTGAACATATTTTGGATCAATTGTGTCTGTAAACATTTTTTTTTAAATATTCAATGTACAGTTTTGACTTTTCTACGACTTTATTACCTACTGTATAGATTTTTCAATGGAACCGCGTGGTTTTTTTTTGTTTACAAGCTTCGGTATAAATACCTAGAGTTTAACCTTTACTTGATCTGAGTTTGCATTAGTTCTATACTATTGAGGGCTTCCCCGTAATATTAAACACTAGTTGACCCGCACCCACTTCGTTGGGTGGTAAAGAGCCCATGTCACTGTCCATCCCTTTATTTAACTATCGCCACTTAAAAAAAAATCATCAATTCGTCAGTCCGTTTTGCCGCGAAAGATGGACTTAAACGACATCATTATCCACAGGCTGCATAGATTGTCTATATGAGGATGTTAAATTTGATAATGATGAAAATATTTAAATGTAATTAATACTAAGTTTTCACTTCTGCCGGGAGTCTCGAAGTGTAACCCGGTTCTTTTAGGATAGATAAATAAAGCGATTATTGTAGAGCTTCTCTATAAACAACATTTGACGTTAAAATATTTTCTTGCCCACGCGTAAAACATTCTTTTCTTAAATGAAATTAATTTGAATGTTTGGCCCTGGGATTTGTTTATCGTAAGTGCGAAAGAAATTTTTACTGGAAGTTGAAGCTTTTTGAACGATATCAGGGGCGTAGCTAGCGCCGTATCTGCCGTATCAATTATATGGGGCCCCCGGACCACGGGGACCCACAACGTGTGCAAGCAAAAATATAAAAACATCTCAATTTATATTTCAGTGATCACAAAATGCATGCGTTCAAAGGTTGACAGAAACCATGGAATAGGGAAATATATGCCATGGCCAGAAACTTTAGAATAATTAAGTGTCCGATTTAGAGCAGAGGGAGGTAGCTGAAAAGATTTCCGTTATTAACACAAATTATTAGCTTATATTATGTAAAAAAATCTTCTGAGGAATATTTATCTTTCATAAGGGCCCCCAAACAAATTTTTATACGGGGCCCCGCCAAGATACTCTACGCCACTGAACGGTATAGGCAAATCAGTACGAATCATGGGTATTCTTGGTATATGAGCTAATTTACCAGCTGCAGGGCTGGTAATAATCTTCGCTACTATTAAATTATGTTTTAGCTCCTTTATAAGAAGTTTCGTGCCATTACACATGTTAGGGGGGTTTAAATTTCTGAGAAGCATTATCGGCGTGCCTACTTTTAACGACAGTTCATAAGGTGGTAGCCCAGCGGGGTTCAGAGAATTTAAAAATTCCTAGTGTACTGCGTCCTCGATGTTAGTGACGGTGTCTATGAATTTATAGCACTTAACTTTACCCAGTACTTTCTGCATAATTAAATTGTTTATTTCGTTGACTGTTTCATTACTGGGAGAAACTATTGCTCTACAACACAGCCAACAAAAATCATTTTGATGTAAGTTTGCGATGTCAGGATATTGACTAGATATTTGGATATTTGGCCTAGAGACTCATCTAAAGTTCTTTTTTCGTCCAATCCATCTTGCTGTGGAATGCGATGCCGACGGATATCAGGACGGCGACCAGCCTTCAAATTTAAGGTTCGTGAGTATCTACAGAAGAGGCTAGCAGACTCAACACACACTTAGGTCTTGTACGTATTTACATATATATATGTGTATAATTATGTATGTATATATATATAATTAAACATGTTAAAGAATAAAACAAACATACAATTATGTCAATTTTAAACTTAATTATTTACCTTGATCCTTTCTAATTGTGTGTTCACCTTACATAGATTTCTGTTTATGGGACATTATTATTTGTGTTAAATAATTTAATTTTTGTGTTAATTTAAACTGTCAAACACCAAGCGGTCACCGGTGACCGCAACCTATTGTTCTATAATTATTATTGTGTCTACAAAACCGGTACTCGACGAGTTAATAGTTGTGTTTTATGTTTATTAATTTAATCTAATTGAATAATTGAAACTTGGGCTAATACCTAACTATTCTCTTGAGCATGATGTGTTAGCCTTTAATTGATTGTTACACTAGCAAATGCATATTGTATCTAAACCGATTTGTTGTAATATGATGTGTAAACAGTCGTTGGCTGACCTAGATAAATAAATAAATAAATAAATTTCCATTCGTATTAAAGTACTGCGCTTTCGTGAGTTCTTCTTTAAGTTCTCCCATTTAAGTCGCAGTTGTTGTGGTGTACGGCGACAGGTACCGATATTGGCGTTGAAAACATCTGCAATCGTTGTCCATTCTTCGACCTTTATTTTATTGCTGGTGGCATTTGTTTTCTTATTATTTATATCTTGCTCCCCTCAATTAAAGAGAGCAGCCCTTTTGTCTCTTCCTTCGAAAGAGGTTTGGTTTTATTCTATAAACAAAAATTAAAGCTTAGTAAGTTTTGTACAATAGTGGCGCGAAATACCGCGTCCCACGCCTTTATCTTTTACAGTAAAAATAATACATTTGTGGACGTGAATATTTACTGCTCGATTATTTAAGTTATAATTATACTATTTACTTACGTTTCTGGCTCCATTTTTAATTTTTCTTGTTTTCCAAGAAACAAACAACAATAAAACTTTTTTTTTTCTTCTTTGGCAACCGAGTCTCCAATACGATGTTGTCGACTATACTGACAGTGTCGAGTGGTGACGGCAGTTAATGCACCGACGAACTTTAACTTTCTGGTAGTTGTTAGTAACTGGAAGGGACAAAACATTTGGATTAGTAAACACAAACTATAAATCTATATATAGTAATAATACTTTATACATACAATAGATATAATAATACTAATAAATAAATTACACATGCAATATCGAGTCGCGCGGCCGCGCGTCAGCCAAGTTCAGCAAACAGCGCGCGCCACAGTGCATATCTTTATACATACTACATCTTTACATGAACCACTTCGTGCCACTTTTGACCCCTCCATAACTCAAAAACTATTTAACGTAAACATATAAAACTTACGTTTAATTTTATCCGTAATGACATGTAGAATCCAAAATTTCATGAAGGTTAAAGGTAGCTCAAACGGTTGTAAAGATATGAAGGTCCAAAGTTCGCAAATTTTAGTATTGACTGACTGACATATAGTAGCAAATTCTAACCTACTTCCAGATGACCTAGAACCTTGAAATTTGGAATACAGTTTGGTTATTGTGTGTAAGCAAAGGGAAAAATCCAAAAATAACAAAAAGTTAATAAATAAGGGTTGTCTCCATACAAACGTACTTTTCCACTATAATTGTTCATAGGAAATTGAACCGTGTTTACATTACTATAAGACACATAGTCGCTTCTAACCTACTTCCAGATGTCCTAGAACTTTGAAATTTGGAATACAGCTCTGTTATTGTGTGTAATTGTGTGTAACCAATGGGAAAAATCCAAAAGTAACAAAAAGTTCATAAATAAGTGGTGTTCCCATACAAACGTTATTTTCTACTGTTATTGTTCATAGGAAATTAAACCGTGTTTTCATAGACTCAAGACACATAGTCGCTTATACAAAAGAAAAATATTGTTTTTATTTTTTCAAGAAATACGTATAATTATAGTAACCTTAATAACCATGGTAATACAGTCCCAATCTCCAATCC